AGGTGTTTAGTAACAGTGCCCTTTGGCTTGTGCTTAAACTAGTGCTAGAGCTGAAATCAGCAGTTAAAGCATTTCTACACTGACATCTATAGTGTGTGCCTTGAAAATATGTCTGAGCTCTACAACTCCATGTATATTGCAGTGAAAGTCAATTCTGAAATCAAATTACAACAAAAATGAGAATTATAAACAAGAGAAATGAGTTTAGACAAAGAACTCTGCTGCTGGAGATACCTGGCTGCAGTAATCGGGCAAACTTACAGCTGTTCCTCGAATGTTCAATAGAGCCCCCTTTACTACGCTACAGTTTAAGAGCCGTGATAGTACTCCTGACCTTGGAACTGATAAAATGGACTATAATTTGTCCAGAGCCAGCACAAAAAGCATTCCATTGTGTCAGCTTTTCAACACAATGAATGCCTCACCACAGAGATTTTGCACAAAATATGTGGACAGACTTAATATTAACAACTGTGGTATTAGAGTCACTGTGTTAGACAGAGACACACATTTGGTAGATAAATTGTGGAGAACTCCTATCTTTATTCACTGTATTTGGATAACGACTACATTTCATTTCTTTTCCTTATATCACATGGCTTGTACAACTATTCTGAAGACAGTCCTTTACATGCCTACTTGAAAAACACAGATAATTCTCCTGGCTTATGCGTTTTACACTTGCTATATGTCTGTATATTGTAAAGTGCACATAATCACTTACTTTAAGTAGGAATATTATTATTTTTTTCCTGTAACATCATGGTGTGCAGCACTAACATCAATCTGTGCATGTAAAAATGAATCTTTGAAAACACAAACTCACAAGCAGGGTCATTCTCCAACAGCAACATCTTGTAATGCAACATGCATTGGATACATACTGCTCCTACCAGTGATACCTGTAAAACCCACAGGTAGCGAAGTAAGAGTCAACACTACATGTTTCTGAAATCATGCTGTTACAAGTGCACTGATACAGATTTTTGGGATAATGACACCGAATGCTGCTAGTGGATTAATTAATCCTGGGGCTGCATATTTAAGAAATAATTCATTTTTTCCTACATATTTTTTTAAATATCCATGCATGCTAAGTCTCTGAATAGGTCAACATGGAGGATGAAATCCAGCTTTTCTGCCCCATGAATGTAAAGTACCCTAACAAATTAAGAAAATACAAGGAGCAACACTGAACTCCCAATTCAGCTACAAAAGAAAGCTACGAATGTGGCAAATTCAGCTTTCTACAAATTGTCATCATTCAGACAAAACAGCCAAATCATTCTGCACATTCATGCATACCTTCTGTCTAACTAGGAAGACATTTGGGAAAATCCTAGACAGACAAGTCAGCTTGTGATGGATCACGCTAGGAAATGTTGAGATACTTCTTTTAATGGTGCTTTAAAAGAGGAAAGAGCCATAAACTGTTTTAAAGGAAGTTTCTACTATCTTCCCACCTCTCCAAAGTTGTGAATAGCTTCCCTTGAGTCTTAAATATTCATTTTCAGTGTATAAAATCACCACACCTGCTGGCTATTTTTTTCCAAACTAGACAATGCATCATGTGCAAACCCTACACAAGCAATTGTATAAACATTCAGTACCATGAATGGTAATGAAGATGCTTAGCTTAAAGGAAAAGCTTTGGACTCAATCATGTTATTCATTATTAGTTTTACTTGTAAAGAATTTTACCTAATATACCATCGTCAAATTGAAAGAAGATATTGCAGTTCTTTGACTTAGTTTTCCTTTCAATTCAACAGGTGCCAGATGGATTTCCGTCATGAAAGGAAAGTGACTGACAACACTGGCTGGAGCCAGGGCTGAGCACAGAACGGGAGAGCACTGTGCACATTTCTGCCGTATGAGCTCACCATTGCCTTTTAGACTTCTCCTACAGCATCCACTGCTCCTCAAGCCATAGTCCTACTGAATCAGACTGTCACCTGCCTAAAAGGTCTTAGAAAGCAGTTTCATCGTACAGGCTAAAAATGAAGGTACTTCGGATGCTACACTGGTAGCTATATTAATCTTTTCAGTAATAGCAAACACTATTAAGATGGTTCACTTCATTTACACAAATCCATGCAGTGTTCCTCCTGATAGCTTTCAGTCTTAACAGCTGTGCTAACTAAACACGTAGTCAGAAATACATAGCATGAAATATGTTGGAAGAAAAAAAAAAAAGGATAAGGAAGTAATTGGCCAATTTAAGCACAGGATCTAGGTGCGATACTCCGATCAAAAAACAGCCAGTGGCTCCTCTTAATCTGTTCCCCAATGTTAGTTTTTTCAGATACACTAACTGAGCCACACTGAACATCCGCAACTTTAACCACCTTTATTGGATTTATCTCAAAGCAAGGGAGATCAAAATTAGCTCCGGAGTGAAAGGGAACAGCTGGGAGAGTTTCTGGTAAGGGGTTTGCAGTTTGAAACATGGTCTCAGCTTCACTCCTCCAGACACAAACAGATTTTCTGCCTGTGCCACAGATCCAAAGAAGGTGCATGCATTTCAGGATATTCTTATACCTTGGTCTTCAATTTTTAATCTATTGTATGTGCTCCAAGAGCATCATCTATTTTAGAAATCTGATTAAGTAAGTAATATCCACAAAAATTAGCTGTATGTACATCATGCATGTACATCTTGCTGTCAGTAAGTCAGATGCTCTACACTTCTACAATAGACCCAGTTCAAGATTTATTAAACCTACTGCACATGTACAGATCAACAGACATTAATACAGCAACCTCAGGCCAGCTCATCCTTGATTACTGCTAATGGTGCTGTAAAAGGCTACTAGCTTGGACAATGCCTGTGTGAGGGGTCACAGTGAGAATTGAAATCAATTGGGTTTCTCATTACGAAGACTTACTCATGACCTTCTTACCACATGGCAACAGTGAATGGAATGACTTCTGTTACCTTCACATACGGTCAGATGCTTCCATTAACTACACTACCTTGTCAGAGTGGTCGCTTTGTTTTAAATGAAGGATTATCTCCTCAGCTAAGTGTGAAGCAGCTCTCAACCAGTATGAACAGCACATATATTAAAGCATGTAACACAACACTAATCACATTGGTATTCAGTTTAGTACCAAAAAGGTAGGGTGTGGAATAAACCCATCATTATGAAATAAAAGATAAAAGAATTAAATGGTAAATCTTTATTTAAATAAACATCCCTTTGTTAATATACTCCATTTCTCAAGTTCTTAGAACAAAAATAGCATTTTAAAGGAAAATGCTATCTCCTCTCTCATCAACCTCTTCTTCTTCTCCCACGTGGAAGAACATGCTACAGAAACAAATCCAAGGCTCCCTTTGCTCCCAAAATCTAAATTTTCTTGTCATTGGAGATCTTGCCCCTGAATCAGACTTCTTAATCCTATGGTATTGTGACTTTAAAGAAGGATTTGGAGTAAACTCAGACTCAGCATCCACCTCAGAAGTTCTGTGAAGCCACTTTAAAGGAACAGATTACAGCAGAGTTTCCAAATGCTACCAAATTTACTCTTTCTCAACTAGTTACAAGAAAACAGTCCTATCTATAAGAGAGAAAATAGCCAGTAAGTTGACAGTACAAATGACTTCTGCCTTGGAACTGTGCTAACTGCTCCCAGAGCACAGAAGATTGACACCTTCTTTTATATCTTCACTCAGTATGTGCCGTGGCTCAAGGAAAATTCTATTAGTGTCCTGTTAATCAAAGTTTTCTAGAAGGTTCCAGCTGTAAGCAACACCACCACAGGAATGGGGATCTATCCTGACAGTAGAGTAGTAACAGACGGAGAGAAGTAAATAAATAATAGGCTTTCACATTTTTCCTTTTTCATTCCCATGTATTCCTTTATATGTATGTAAATATGTATGTATTTATTTATGCATTTTTAATGGAATTCCTTTTTCCTTTCAAGCCTAGTCTGCTCAAAAGAA